GGAGCGCGACGGCTTTCTCTCTCCTCCCGAGACACGAGCCGACGGCGCACCGGAAGTTGAGTTGCCGTGCTCGTCTGTCAGGCCCTCTCGCTCCTCCCGCGCGAGACTTTCTTCGCCGCCGCAGCCGGCTTCCTCTCGTACAAGGCGCGAGATATGGCGAGATATGGGGAGATATGGCGAGATATGGGCCGGCTTCCTCTCGTACAAGGCGCGAGATATGGCGAGATATGGCGAGATATGGCGAGATATGGGCCGGCTTCTCTCGTACAAGGCGCAGCCCCTGCCCGCCCTCCCCGTCTCCCTCCCCTCGCACACCCCCTCCGCTGGGGCGCTCCCCCCTCGAGACACGACACCGCATGCCTCTCGGCTACCTTCAGGCGCCGCTGCTCGCAAAGCAAGTCGCGCGCGGGCTGCAGGACCTCTCAGAGTACCGGCCCGCAGAGGACGACTCCGCCTCGCTCGCGGGAGGAGGAGCGCTCTCGCTCTCGCTCTCGCTCTCGCTCTCGCTCTCGCTCTCGCACTCGCACTCGCCACACGCGCCTCGCCACACACGCCTCCACTCGCCTCCCCTCCCGCGCCTCCCCTCCCGCGCCTCCAGGCTCGCTCGGCTTCGCGGTGCGGGCGCTGCAGAGGGCGGGCAAGGAGAAGGCGGAGGCGGCCGCCGCCGACGCGAGCAGCGGCGGGTCTCAGCCTCTCGCGCCGCAGCAGCTGGTGCCTGCCTTTGGGCGAGCGGCGCGGCCTTGCCCCTGGCCCGACTCTGCACTCCGAGCTTGTGCAGGTGCTCGCCGGCCCGTCCGGCGTCGGCAAGTCGACTCTCGTCGCCGCGCTGCTGCAGGCGCGCGAGGCGAGGCGGTGCCGCCCACCGCCCCTCCGCCGCGGCAGGCCGCGCTGCACCGGGCTGTAGGCGGAGCCTGATTTCTTTTGTTGCTGTAGGCGGAGCCTGGCCGGTTCGGTTTCTCCGTCTCGTCGACGACGCGCGACCCGCGCGAAGGCGCACCTCCCGCCGCCTCACCGACAGACCCACCCCCGCCGGCACCGAGAGGAGGAGGGCGCGCGAAGGGTCTTGTCCGGGGCTGTGAGGTCCGAGGCTGGGCCTCTTCAGGCGAGGTGGAGGGCGAGGACTACCGGTTCGTGTCGACGAGCGAGTTCGACGCGATGGTGGAGCGCGGCGAGTTCATCGAATGGGCGACCATCGGCGGCCACCGGTACGGCACGACGGTCGCGTCGGTGCAGGCGCTCGCAGCCGAGGGCAAGGTTTGCGTGCTCGACGTCGACGTGCAGGGCGTCGAGGCGCGCGCCGCTGGCCTCGGCCGTCGCACAAGCTCCGCCGCGCGTGGTCTCTCAAAGCAGTCCCGCTCCCGAAGGCGATCGCCGCTCGCTCCGACTTGCGGCCATATTGCGTGTGGGTCGCGCCGCCTTCGTTTGGCGCGCTGCGAGAGCGTCTGACGGAGCGCGGCACCGAGTCGGAGGAGGAGATCTCGCGGCGAGTGTTGCGCGCCAGGGAGGAGATCGAGTTCTCCCTCACGACGCGCTGCTTCGACAAGGTTGGCCCCACGCCAGCCTCTCCCGACACCTGTCGCACCCATGGAGCACCCTGCACGGCCTCCCAGGTGATCGTCAACGACGATTTCGACGCCGCGAGCCGAGAGCTGCGCGAAGCCGTCCTTGAGGCTCTCGCACCGTCGGCTTGAGTCAAGTTTGCTGCGCGGCCTGCGCCCTCTGTGGCGCTCTCTGGCCCTGTCCAGTGTCACGTATATGTGAACGGATCAGAAACCCTGTCATGAGAACAGCGTGGTATTGTTTTAAACACAAAAGCCTCTCATAGATCATGGGTGACCCATGTAGCACACACACAGCTTGGTCCGGCTCACAGCCACGGCGGAGGGGGCGAGGCGTTTGGCACCTCGCCCGGGCGCGGCCCGTATGCGATCTCCCAACAGTCCGCGTCCTTGCGCGACTTATTGCCGGTTGGGTGTCCCGCCTGCCGCTTGAGCTTGACGCGCTTCGCTTTCCTCGCGAGGCGGCGGCCCATCGGCATCGAGGGGCTCTCCTCGGCGCTGGTCAGGCTGCTTGTCCTAGTACTTGCCAGGCTCTGGTTCCACTGCCGCACGAGCTCGAGGAGGCGCTGGACGACTCGCGGCTGCTCCGCAGACAACTCGACCATCTCCTCAGCATCCTAAAGGGCCGCAAGGGAGCGAGAGGCGAGGCGTGTCACCGATGGCTCCACCGGCGGGGCTCGCGGTAGCCTTCGACTGCCACACGGCACTGCTACTGCTTTG